CCCCAAAACCCCAAAACCCCAAAACCCCTTTGGAAGGAAAAATTATTGATTTTTTGTAATAAATCATGGATAAAAGTAAAGACGAAGAGTGAGAGGAGTCTCATCTGCATAACTTATCATGCATGTTTCCCAAGTGTGACAAGGATCTCCTGGCCAGTATTTTCGAGCTCAATGACAACGATTTTGAGAAAACGAAGCAGTTCGTGCAACTACAAATTGAGGGAAATCAACCTCAAGAAGACCCTCTAGACCAGAATGAAGTTTATCCTTCCTCTGAAGAAGAAAAAGAGGATAGTGAAGAGCATGAAGATGATCTTGAAGAGGAATCTGAGGAAGAGCCTGATGAGGAAATAGACCAAATCCTGGAGAAATTTAATAAGAAAGTAAGCAAGATTTAGGCATAACCCTTATAGGATGGAGCTGAACTCCCAACTGCAGCTGGAGAAAACCCTGAAGAGGATGAGAAAGAAACTGAAGAACTTGATGATGAAATTAAAAATGATATTAAGAGTAGCAGTCTTTTTATCAAATTTAGATTTTTATTGTGACAAATTTCCGTTTGTCAAAAGAATAAGAATAGAATGAATTATTATATCATTATATCCCAACTTAGAGTTGATTGAGCAATCTCTTGAGAAGAAGAATAATAAAGTTTTAAAGCAGCAACAAGAAGAAGGTCTAATACAAGATGCACCGGCCTTGAAGGTAGAATCATCAACAATCCCGAGACATCCAGGCGATAAAGTTGGTAAGTTTTAAGGCCCTATGTTTGCCATCTGATTTTGGGAAATACGTAGGTTAATTTCTTAAAATTAATGAGATTCTACTTAAATTCATTCAAAATATAGTTAAAGATAACTGGCAAGGTCTTTCAGCTGAAGAAATTGTGAATCAGAAGAAGAGGCAGAGAAAGTTGAAAAAGAGCCAGAACAAAGTTATTATATTCTTTATATTTAGATCAATGATGCTATAGCTAATAATAGCCCTAACCAGAGCCTAAAGGATAGAGATGAGCTATTTAAGTGTCTAAGGCATTTCCGAGATGAATTAAAGCCTGAAATATATCAAGCCGCTTGGAATATCAAGCAGTGTCATATAAACAGAGATTTCAAATCAAAGAAATACTGGCAAAAGGAGCTTAAAAAATTACAAATTGTTTATGAACAGTACAGGCGTCAAGCTATTGAAATAAAAATTGAAGCGAACTGTTCTAAAGAAGAGGGTCATATTCTAGGTACTTTCACTACTCAATCTCCTCTAAAACTCCCAAAGCTCTTAACCTCTGCTTCTAGACCTGCACTCGTTGACAGTAGACGAAGCGTTGATCGCTTTGGACCAGAAACTGCAATCATGTGTAAGCTAGCCTGTCTTTCTTGTAGTATGAGCTGATCAACTCTGAACGTGTAGTTAATCCATCTGCGATGATTAAGTTAAGAGTGATCACTGGCAAGGGCAAGCATTCGAAGAGCAAGCCAGTAGTCAAGATCAACACGCATAAGTATTTGAAGCAGAGAAGAATCAGGTTTAAGGTGACTGATGGAGGAGGGGCCTTAGTGGCGTTTTTGAAGTAATTTCCAGCCCTGAAGGACTTGAGGGGTTTTGGGGTTTTGGGGTTTTGGGGTTTTGGGGTTTTGGGG